GAAAAAAAGTTTTTATTATTATTAGTTTTTTTGTTTTTTTTTAAAGAAACAAAATGAATAGTGTATGCTTGCTGAAAAGGAAATCATTGAAAAAGTTGAATGACATGGCAATTTAGAAAAGTTACAGTATAGAATTAGAAGTTAAAAAGAGGTGTGGTGATGGCTTATGAGGACAAAAGTGTCATTTTAATCAATGAAACAATAAATGTATGTGGAGCCATAGAATTGGTTTGTGATATTAACTACTCATTTATTTTGCACTTCTGAAATTTATCTCCTTGGATAAATTAATCTTTGAAAGTTATTCGTGCTTCATAATGCTATTTAAATTCTTACAGGGACAGGGTGCTTGTGACTTTATTCAATCATTGGATGCTATTAGCAGTCATTCAGATAGAAGTGTTATTTCTCAGTCTACATTGACCAACTGTCATGACACTAGCCCCTCAAGCAGTGACTTAGTCGAGGATGGGGATTTCAGCCAACAAGGGATGGATGTTGTGTCACATGTAGTGAATAGTTCTGAACATCCTCAAAAGTTGGGGGCAATTTCTGAAATTTCAAAGAGAGATAAAGTGAAGCTGATGGATTTTCAGGCCCAAGAAGAGACACCGGATAAGCTTATGAGGAAGCATTGTAAACGGCAACATCATGAGGCTCCAGAAGTTGATGGTTTCAACCTTGATTCAACAAGTTATTGTTCTGACATGCCACAGTCAAAATCAGGGGACCCTACAACTACGAAGGCACTCCGGGCGTCTACTATAACATCTGAGGTTTTGATTCATCAAAGGCAAGTGTAGTTTTTGTCAGAGATTTCTTTTGCCAGAGCTTCTTTGTCAAAAGGTGTGTCTTGTTTGTGATTTATGTTTCATTATTTAATATGATTACATATGGTTATTTGAATTTTCCTACATTACCAGGAGTTGTGTTTTTTTATCTCTCTTTTGTTAATGTCGTTCTTATATGAATTCACCTTGTGTAGGTTCTACTTACTACCACAATGATTCTGCCTTGCCTACGACCACAGTGGCCCTGATAGATAATTGTTTAAAGGGAACGACCATATGTCAAATTTTAGGGTTTAATGTTAAGGGCTGGTGTGGACGGCTTATGTTTTCCACATCTCGATGCCTGATATTTCCTGTTTCTAAGCCTTTCTTTTGTTGTAAGTAGGACTATATACTTCAGTTAACTTTTTCTTCACGTCTGGCAACCAGGTTTCAAATTTATTTTGCATTTCTTCTCAGTTGTTTTCCCTGCATTTGATCCCATTTTTGACCCTCATGATGTCGACACATTTGATGCTGAAGCACCAAACATTGCAATGCCGAGTGTGTCACCTACTCAATCTAACAAATCATCTTTGCGTACTCCTCCTGGTCGGCCTTTAGGTTCTTCTCTTTCGGGGCCATCAGGTCTCAACCCTCCTCCCAAAATTTTACAAGGAAACATCATGACAAATTCAATTGTTGAGGTATTCAAGCAGGCTGCAGTGCACCTTCATGATGATTTTCTCAATGTTTTGAAGTCCAAGGATTTTCATGATCATGAGTCTATGATCCTAGAGGCCTGTTCTATTTTGGGTACTCTAGATGCTCTATTTGTTGATTCTCAACCCTTTAAAGAACAAGTGGAGGAATTTATTGGTTGTGCAACATCACTTGCTGAAGTAGAATTGTCTATTAACAATGACGGCTCTACACAGGAGCTTGTTATCATGTACGAACGCAAAAAATGAAAGTTGGAAGATATTTCTCGTCTTCTTGCTGAGACTCAGGCTGCTTTAAAAGCTTCTAATGAGCAACATCAATTCCTTCAAAAAGAGGCCTCCCATGTCAAGGATATGCTTTTATGTATAGAGGAGCAATTGTCTTCTTGTGAGGGTGAGAAGATGAAGATAGGGAATCGCTTGGATCAAATCACTGAAGACATGTTGAATTCTGAGGCAAGTTTACAAGTTGCATTTGGTGAGGCAGAAGCTGCTATGAAACTTTGTCAATAGAGGGAAGCAGAAAGGAATGTTCCAAAGGAAGCCTTTGAGAAGGCGAGGTCCAACCTGCGACGAAGCTTGTAAGTATGTTGATTTAAATTTGGTTGTATGCTCTCTTTCTCTCTCAGGCTTTAGGTGTACCCATGCCCTTTAATTTTGTTTATAATGATAAAGATTTGTTCCTTTCTTTATGGTTGCACCTCTTATTTATCTTGAGCTCTTTTATTCTGGTTTTTATGTTGATCAGTGACTTTCAAATCCCTTGTTAACATGGTTTCTAAGGTGTACTTAGTTGACAGCTCAAACTTTCTCCAACTGGAGCCAAAGGCTATGCTTCTATTAGGATTTGTCAAGGGCAATGAAAAGGGTGAGCATTATGGCTACGGCCGAAACGGTCCAATGAATCGAATCGAATCGTATCATAAATAGTAAAGATTGATGGCATGCTATGACTTAAAGTTGTTTTTACTGTACATTCAAATATTTTAATAAAAAAATTATTATTTGTTTTTTGGATTTGCGTCAATAGTTATTATTGTAAATACTATTCATTGAAAGTGACATTTGACCTATCAATTCAAATCTTTAGTTGCAAAAAGAAAAGTCGCAAGTTTCAAATTTTGAATAAGGAAAAGCAACGTAAAGATTGATCTGTCAGAGGAGCGTGTATTAGGCGTGCAGAGGAGTGTCTCCTCTCCCAATGGGTAGAATTTTGGGTATAAATATAAGCATTTTGCTGTGAGAAAAATCATTAACTTGAAAAGAAAAATTTGTGTATTCAGAAATTTTGATTGTATTTTTCACATGGTTCTTTTACTTTCAAATCTAAGTACTATCTTTATTCTTATACTTTCATATCTACTCTTTAAGAGAGAATCATTGTAAAGAAGAGCTGAAATACTTATTATCTTTATTGATTATTTTGTGGGAGAATTTTATAAAGGACAATCATTTATTGTTCTCAAAGAGGATCCATGAAGAGTAAACATAGGTTTGGCGTGTCGGGTTATTTGAATTTTCCTACATTACCAGGAGTTGTGTTTTTTTATCTCTCTTTTGTTAATGTCGTTCTTATATCTTTGTTATTTTTTTATTTAAATTTAGATATTTTGATTATTATATTTAAAATTGTAAAATTATTTTTTAATAACCTAATTCATCCCCTCTTGGGTTACATACCTAGGATAACAAAATATTGATAATTTTTCAAAGCACATGGGATAATATCTGTATTTTAAATAAACTTAAGAAAATGTATTTTTAATTTATCAATTTTTAAAAGGAAATGGGGTCGTTGGCTACTGTGCTCTCACACAACAATCACTGTTGCACCCTCATATGGGCCTATTTTGAGGCTCGTTTTGATAATCAAAATCACTCACTTTTTAGAGTACATTAAGTAGAATATATCTGTGAAAAAATTAAAATTTATGTAATATCATTAACATTTTCATCGACTCACATTTGTATCAACAAAATTAAATGACAAATGTGCTTTGAAGTATGATGTGAGTCGATGAAAAGGTCAATGATGTTCAATTTGAATTTGTGTATGTATATTCTAATTGATGTGCGTTAAAAAATGAACGGTTAAAATTATGAAAATGGATCACCGAAATAGGCCTATATAAAGGTACAATAGTGGCAGCTATGCTGGGAGTACAACAACCAATCCATTTCCATTTCAAAAAGACAAACCACGTTAATAAATAAAGTTTTGCTATTCAAACTAAAAAATTACTCACTTTTCAAGTCCAACGATCAATCAATTAATTACTCTTGTATAATATTTTGTTCTCATATTTTTTTTATAATTATTAATCAATAATATATTTTACACATTATTAAATTTAAAAAGTAACTTATATATCGTTTTCTTAATAAGACATGAAAGGATGAGAATAACTTATCTCCAGTGACAAAACAAATTGAATGCTGCTACTGGGTTTCGATGAGCTTAAATTTAGGTTCATTTTGATAATTGAAATCATTCAAGGAGTGTTTTGGGAAGATGATTAAAAATTAATTTAAATTTTTTTTTTTGTATAAAAAATATGAGAAGTGAAGTGACTCAAAATGAATTAAAAGTTAATTTTTGGTTTTTTATTTGCTTCCCAAATGGCCTCTCAAAATATAGAGCTCGTCGAATAATTATTCTTGCAAAAAGAATTTTTTTTTAAATATTGATAACTATTTGATCAAATTACATTTGTATTTATAATTTATTTTTAAAATTATAATTATCATTGAAACAAATATAATCTGGTTAAATAAATATTAATATTCAATTAGTATAAATTTTTTAATTAAAATAATGTACTACACAAACTTTATGTAGTGCACTGTTTGAATTAACTTTATGTAGTGCACTAGAGGTGTACACGGTCCGGATTGGTTCGGTTCTGAGAAAATTCAAGAACCGAACCGATCCCAACGGTTCTGTGATTTTGAGAGCCAGACCAGACCGTTATACTTGTAAAACCGGACCAGAACCAAACCGAAAAAATGGTTCGGTTTCGGTTCCAAAAATTTCTATTTACAAGAATAAATTTTTAATATTAGCAAAATAATTACTCAAACTAATTACATTTAACTCATGATAAAAACTAATAATATTAAGGCATTACTTAATATTACATATCTATACCATCCTAATATCATTAAAATTATAAAAAACCAATTAATAAAAATAAAACTTGGCATTATATATATATCTTTTAAAATTCGGTTCGGTTCGGTTCGAACCGCGATTTTTTCAGAAAATCCATTAACCGAACCGTTTTTACGGTTATCATATTTCTTAATCCGAAACCGAACCAATTCTTAATAGAATCGAACCAAATTGTATGATTCGATCTGATTCAGTCCGGATTATTGGTTTGAACAGATTTTTGAACAGCCCTATAGTGCACTGTTTGAATTATTGGGAAGAATCTAAAATGAAGCCCATCGAGCCAAAAGTAACGCCTACTTTGAAGCTGTTGTCCGAAAGGACTAGACACGACAAGACAAGCACATGTTATCCTTTCCCTCCATTCTCGAAAGACTCCACTTTCCCTTTTCTCACTTCCTCTCCAGCACTCAGCAAAAATTTGTTACGGATAGAAATAGTACACTACACAAAGCACGTTATCTGAATCTCTTTGATAAATGGAAATGATGTTGGAGGAGGAGGTGATTGTGGGATCGAATTCAGACTCAACTACTCCTGTTTCTCATCTCAATTATTATTCTCCCAACTCTATTGCTAGTCCTGGTGGCAGAAATTCAAGCACTCGACCACAACCACAACCACAATCACAATCGAATCGGTGGCTGTTTGTTACAGAGGAGGAGGAGAAGAAGGATAATCATAAGCGTAGTTGCTTCCACTGTCATAAACAAGGTCACTGGATAAAGGATTGCCCCATGAAGAGTCCAAAGACTCCATCTTCATCTCAATCTCCATCCCTATTATCACCATCGTCATCACCTATTGGAGGCCATGGTGTACCCAATCTCATTTGCCCTTGTGGTACCGGAACTTGCTCCGTCCGCCGCTCTAAGACAACCAGAATCCCGATCGCCTCTTCTATTGTTGCCCCATCCCGGTAACCGTTCAAATTTTTGTTTTTTGTTTTTTTTTTTTGGGTTGTAATTTACCCTTAATTTTTTGAAATATTATTGTGATCTTTTGACACTTGTTTGATTTTCTATTTTCTATTATTTTTTTAAGGATAAAAGTTGTAATTTCTTCGTGTGGTGCGACGAAGTGTGGAATGATAAGATCACCGTTCCTGTGTGCCGCTATTTCGCCGGATCCTGTAGTATTTACAAGGAACCCACTTTCACTAGGTCAAATGTGGGTCGCTATTTCTTTGTCTGCCCCATTAAGAAGGTATTTTATTATTAGTCTCTTCTAATATTTAACTTTTTTTACTTGTTTACTTTCTCTTTCATGTGTTCAATCTTGGAAATAAAATACAAACTTGCGGAAATGAATGTCATGGCCGTTGATTTGTTCCTATTATTTTTTTCTTCTACATATTCTTTAATGTTTATCCTTGATCAAGTGCTTTTTTCTGTCTTTTCAAATATTGATTCAACGACTTTTCCCCCTTATGCTATGTTATTTGTGCAAAATTAAAATTTAATTTTATTACTTAATTTAGGAAAATGTTTAAGATCACAAAAAATCGACCACAATTCGACCATGATAGATGTTGACATTTTATTTGCGACACTTAATTATGTATGACCTATCACTAACGATTATTAACATCACCAGCCCAATCAGAATTAGTATAGTCCACCAAGTCTAAAGTGAAAGTAGAGGATAACAGTAAGCTCTGAAAGATGGTACTCCGAAGATAGTGAAAAATGCGAACTAAAGCAGCCCAATGGGTAGAGCGAGAAGCATAAACGAACTGACTAACCACATGAACAATATAAGTAAGATCAGGCGAGTGACAGTTAAATAAACTAAACAATCCATAACCTCGCGATAGAAAGTGGGATCATCCAGAGGGACACCATTAGTAGAGTTAAGCTTCACATTAAACTCAATAGGTGTATTAAAAACCTTGGTATCAATAAGACCAGCACGGTGAATAATCTCATTAGCATACCTGGCTTGAGACAGAAAATATTCCTTTGGAGAAGAGGCAACCTCAATACCAAGAAAATACCGCAATAGACCCAGATCCTTCATTTCGAAGGTGCGGAAGAGATGTTGCTTGACTTCAGAGATAACAGAAGAGTTAGAGCCAATGATGATCATATCATCCGCATAGAGTAAGAGAGCAACAAAACCAGCCGAGGTATGTCTCAGAAACAAAGCAGAGTCAGAAGCAGAAAGATAAAATCCAAGCTCAGTAATAGCAATCTGAAAGCGATTATACCAAGAACGAGGAGATTGCTTCAAACCATACAGAGCACACTGAAGATGACAAACCTGTTTAGAGGAGTGGAGAAGGCGAGGGGGAGGACGCATATAGACCTTAGTGAGATGACTGTTAAGAAAAGCATTCTTAATATCCATCTGATAGAGAGGCCAATGTCAAACACCAACAATAGAAATCAAGGTACGGACAGTAGTCATCTTAGCAACAGGGGCAAATGTCTCCTCATAATCAATACCATACTCCTGCGAGAAGCTTTTGGCAACCAAACGAGCTTTGTATCACTCGAGAGAATCATCAGAATGAGTCTTGACTTTATAAACCCATTTACAACCAACCAGATTCTTGCCAGCAGGCAAAAGAACCAACTCCCAAGTGTTGCAAGGCAAATAAATCATCTTCCATAGCTTGAACCCAATTAGGATCTTGATAGGCCTCCGTGTAAGACTGAGGTTCTGAAAAAAAATGAATAAGAGACAAAAAAGTATGATAGGAAGCAGAAAAACATGTATTAGACCAACCCAACTTGTTTGAAGGGCGACGCTCATGAGTAGGATATCAGTGTGCAGCAGGATCAGAGTCGTTAGAAGCAGGAGCAACAACATGAGTAGAGACAACTGGTGGTGGGGGAGCCTTGCGATGAGAATAGACCAACGAAGGGGAAAAAAAAGCCGAAGGAGGAGAAAGAGCCATAGGTGACTCAGACGGAGAAGTAGGAATGGCCTCAAGAGGATCAGGGGAGGGGTACTCAACAGGAGGTGTAGAAAAGGGAGAAGATGAAATAAGCTCAAGAGGAACAGTGGAGATGTACTCCTTAGACGGGACCTCAGAAGTAAATGGATCAATATGAACCAAATCCTCTTTGGAAACCGAGGCAATGAGAGGAGGAAGCTGAAAATAAGGTAGACGTTCGAGAAAAGAAACATGACGGGTGACATAAAGACGACGGAAAATAGGGTCATAACACCGATAGCCTTTCTGAGTAGGACTATAACCCAAAAAGATATAGAGGTCTGACCGGGCACTAAGTTTGGTCCTATCTTTACGGAAAAGAAGGACAATTCAGGTAGACCCAAACACAAAGAAGGGAATAGTTAGGAATCTAGGAGAACAAAGCCTCATAAAGAGACCGACCAGAAAGAAGGAGAGTAGGCATGCGATTGAGAAGAAAAGCAGTAGTGAACTACCTCTTCCCAGAACAGAGCCGGAACTGAGGCAGAGAGAAGAAGAGACCCTGCTGTCTCAAAGAGATGATGGGGTTTATGCTCGGCTCGACCATTTTGGACAGGTGTATCCATATAAGAAGTTTGGTGAATGGTACCCAAATTGGCCAAATACTCACAAAACTCATTTTTAATATATTCCCCACCCAAGTTAGACCGTAACACTTTAATTATAGACCCAAACTGAGTAGTGACCATAGACTGAAAAGTACGGTATATAAGTTAGAAGTCAGACTTATGAGTCATAAGATAAACCCAAGTATAACGTGTACAGTCGTTAACAAATGACACATTGTATGTAGAACTCCCTTTAGTGAGAATAGGAGAAGGGCCCCAAACATCAGTATGAACTTAAGAAAACGGTGTATCAGATATAGAAGTATTTTTATGAAAAGGTAAGACCGTCATTTTGATATGTTTATACCTTCGACATTTAGTAAGTTCAGTAGGAAAAACTTTACCCAATATACCTGATTGAGTTAAAGACTGTAAGCGGTCAGTAGACAAATGCCCTAATATAGAATGCCATAAGTAGAAAGGATTGGACAGAGAATCTAACTGAAAAGAGGAAAAGGCAGTCAAAGAGGTTGTCATAGGTAGATGTAAGCTCTCCACCACATAGAGGTCTCCAACTCTACGGCCAGTCCCAATTTGCTGCTTGGACATCTGATCCTGCACAAAATAGATAGAAGAAAAAAAGGTAACATCAAAACCGGAGGCATCAAGTTGATTGATAGATAATAACTGACAGATAACTGAGGAACATAAATGATAGATAAAATAGAGACAGTAGACATAGCAGACAGTAAGACAGACCCAATAGATATAACAGACATACTAGTCTCATTAGCAGCATTAACAGTAATAAGAAAGGAATGGGGAGTAAAATTTTGAAGTAAGAAGAGATGGGAGTCATATGATGAGAAACACTAGAGTTAAAAATCCAGACAGACAAAGAAAAACTAGAAGAAGACCCAAGCAAACTTGAATGAAGAGAGGAAACAATGGTGGCAAATAGGATATGCTGAAGCTGGCTAATCTGAGTATTTAGGGAAGCCAAGTCAGGATCAAGGACCGAAGCAGATGCGATAGAACTGGCGGGAGTCCGAAAAGTACTCTGAGAATGAGTGCAGAACTGAATCTGAGACTGTTGAAAAGACGAGACATACATCCTTTTTTGGGACAGTGATACTTCCAATGACCTCTCTGGTCGCAGAAGGCACACTCATCTAAAGCTAGTGACCTATTTTCGGGCCTAGCAATCTTATCATTCGGCATTGTAATGAACTAGCAAAAGAAAAAAATTGATGGAGGCAGATTATAATAAACAGAAAACATTGGGGGGTTTTGTGTAATAAATTTGAAACTGGGTGTCAAGTGTAATACCCAAGCAGAGTTTGAGAACAGTTTTGAGAACCACCGAATCAAATTGAGAACCAAAGAGAGACTAATGAGGCTGAAACTGAGAGAGAGCATGAATAAACACAGAGAGAGAAACATGGGTAAGAAAGAACTCTCATGATTGCGATCAGAATTGAAAGAGAAGACCAGCAATCGTCCGCAAAACATAAGGAACTTCAAAGCTTCGATACGGACAGATGAGCCTTTAATCGAACCAAGTGAGCAACGAATCAGATGAATTAGACCCAGATAAACCAGACGATCTTAGAAGCAAGGAGCTTCGACTGACAATCGGGTCTGAGAGAAAGAGAGAGATCACGAACCAAATTGAGCCAAGAAGAAAACTCACGACTAACGATCGATGAAGCAAAGAGCTTCGATCAACAACCATGTCTAAGAGAAGAAGAGAGATCAATGGCGCTAGGGTTTCTTAACCTGCTCTGATACCATGTAAGATTCCTGAAAGTTTTTCTGTATATTCAATTTTATTTGTTTACAAAGAGTTCATCAGTTTATATAGTCCTAAATCCAGTGTTTTTTAAGGCGAAAAGCGAACTGAGGTGACAAGGTCTCCTAACGCCTAAATGCGAGGTGACGAGGCGAGGCGAGGGCTTCATCGAATCGAGGCGATCAGAAAGGATATTTTTTAAAAATAAATCGTATAGACAAAAATATAAATATTTTCAAGAACCATCATACAATTATCATTCCAAGTACTAAATATCCATAAACAAAAGAAAATATCCAACAAATTAAAATAATTGAATTAAATTAATTGAATAACCAGGAAATTAATTGAATTAAAATAAACAAATTAATTGAATTAATTGAATTAAAATAATTAATTGAATAACCAGGAAATTAATTGAATTAATTGAAATTTTAACACAGAAGAAAAAAAATAATTGAATTAATTGAAAAAAAAATTAATTTTAAAATAATTGAATTAATTTTAAAAATTAATTTTAAAAAATAATTGAATTAATTTTAACACAGGGTTCGACAGTGTTCTTTAAGTCGAAGAAAAAAATGAACAAAGAAGAACAGGTGAAGTCGAAGGGAAGAACAGGGGGGAAGAAATGGGGGAGGGTCCGATAGTGAAAAAAGGAGAAAGGAAGAAGAAGGAACTCACCTCGGAACGACGTCCGAAGAAGGAAGAAGAAGACCCAGATGATTCAACTTCGGAAGAAGAAGACCCAGAAGACCCAGATGTCGACGAACGAAGTCGATCTAGGGTTTGGACTTCTTATTTAGTAATTAACTTTGTCGATGAAGGGCCCAGATGATTCGAACTAAAATTAGGCAAAAATCTGATGAAGCGTCGCTTCGTTTCGCCTCGCGCTTCATCGCCTAAGCCTCGCTTCAGGTGTTTCTCCATCGCATCACCATTTCGCCTCGCCTTAGTGTGCGTGAAGCGCTAAAGCCTCGCCTCGCCTCGCTTAGCGCTTAGGCTCGCCTCTGATAACACTACCTAAATCTATGACTGAAAAAGGAAATACAAAGATTCCTATTTACACCACAATCCTTTCTAATGCCTATTTCCTAATATACAAAATCATGCCATATATACAATATATTCTCACACTTTCATGGTGAAGAAAAAGGAACAAGTTTTTACCCACCTCAGGGCATCTGTGACAGGCCTTGTTTTACTTTGGTTGGAATTAACACCCATCATTTTGGAAAACTAGGATTTTTTCTGTCATCTTTTGATACTCACTCCCTTACTTGAAAAATGGAAATACCCCTGCTGCTTGTGTTGTTCATGTTCTTTGAAGTTGGGGGACATGCAAAATTTGTATTCATTGCCTGGACTTGAATTTCAAAACAGGTTAGCCTCTTTTATTTATTTATTTTTCATTTTTTGAAATGAATAACAAAAATAAGTTTGGAAACTGTTTTCATTTCCAAAAAAAGTTGTTTTCAAAAATTTCCAAACTAGTGGTGGGGTTAGGTTTTGTCAAGTCAAGGTGGGGTCAAAACTAAGTCGTGGGGGTTATGAGCTAATGTGGTGTTTTGGTTATGACCTAAAATAGTGTTCGTTATGAGGCAAAGCGACATAGATAGTGAGTAGGGCTGTAAACGAGTCAAGCCGAGTTAAGTCGAGTTTTAGTATGTTTGGGCTTGTTTTTGAAGATTTTAATGAATTCAAGTTTGAACTCAAGCTCAATAAAAATTTAACGAACTGAGCCCAAGCTGAGTTGGCTTAAACTTGACTCAAGCTCGAACTTGTCCACAAGCCTTAACGAGCTAAAAAAGTTATAAATTCATATTTCGTATGACACTAAAGTTACAATTGAAATTTTGATTATACAATTCTATATACAATATATATAAACATACTAAAAGAAAAGTGAATATTTTACTAAAATAATAATATCTACCACCACTATTATATAAATGCATTATCTATAGTTAGCTATTGTTTACATTTATAATTTTTAAATATATAAATAACATATTTATTTTATTTTTTATACATATTTTTACATTATTTAATATATAAATAAAAAATGTTAAACAAGTCAGCTAACAAGCCGAGTTCTAATATGTTTAGGCTTAGTTATTAAGATTTTAACGAGCTCGAGTATGAATGCAAAAAATAAAATAAAATTAATGAACCGAGTTCGAACTAGTCCTTATCGAGCCAAGATTGAGTCTGTTCACGAATGACTATGTTCATTTGTAGCCCTAGTAGTAAGGTAAAGTGGTGTTTTAGTTGTGAGCCAAAGTGGTCCTACTTACGAGGTAAATATTATTATTTATTTCACAACAAAGATCACTTTAGATCATAGCAAAGCTTATGCTACACATTTTTTTAGAAGTGTGTAGCATACGAAACATGGGTTTTGTTTTTGTTTTTGAAAAAAGCAAAAAAATTGGAAAACATGTTTCTTCTTTTCTATGCAAAACACACGAAACTATAAAATCGCCAATAGCCACCTCAACTATTATTGTTGGTGAGCTACTAATACCACAAACAAATTTTGTTCCTGTCATATTTATTGATCCATTAATTAAATGACTTTTTTTATATTATGTGACACTTATCGTGGCATTTTCTGTCTAACTTTGAATAGAAAGTAGCTTTGGGAGTAAAGTGGAAAAAAACTTGAAATTTGAAGGGCCAAAGTGGGAAAATAAACTTTAAGGGCTAAAGGGGAAAAGTGGCCAAACATAAAGGGGACAAAGTGTATTTTAACCTAAATAATATACAATATTTGTGTTTAAAAGATGTTTGGGTATTATTTTCAATCATTTTGGTGTAGTTTCTCGTTGCATGAAAATGTGGGTTTGGAACTCCTTCCGGCTCTAGTTGACTGAACAAATTGAGATTGTTTCGTCTTTGGTAGCCAAACAATTTAAGTTTGTTCGGACTTCTATGACCGAACATGGCTAATTAATCAATTTTGGCCCATTTGGTGGGACACGGGCCAAACACACTTGATTTGGTTGACCGTTTTCCAACCGAACAAACCAACTTTGTTCGGTTGTGTGTTGTTGAACAAACAGAATTTGTGAGACTCTGGTTCGTTGAACAAAACAAGAACACTGAAAAGAAACTATGGAACTGGTGGTCGGGGGAGGCTATGAAGTGATGATTGTAGCGGTGAGGGGTTGCTAGGTGGTGGCCGTGGAAGTGAGTTGCGGGGTGATGCTCGGAAGTGGCATCGGTGGCGATGGAGGTTGTAGTAGTTGAAGATGGATGAGTTGGAGTTCAGAAGATTTTGAGTGTAAGGAGAAGAGAGGAGGTTAGGGCTGAGGGTAGAGAAAAAGGAGTGTGTACAGAGATGAAATAAGATTTTGAATTTTTTAGAGTGGTGTAATTAGAAAAATGGTGTAATGAGGTAAAATTATTGTGTAAATATAATTACCTTTGTTTAAATAAGCTAGAATTGGTTTTTTGCTCTGTAAATGTCTTTTTTACCCCTTTTAGCTGTAAAGTGAATTTACCTTTTACTTTTTGTAATTAATTACCAGATTAAGAGGTCATTCCAACAATTAATCAATCTAATGAAATTATATATAAGGCACAATAATAACACAAATATTAAAAAGGCATACCAATTAAAGCTTTATCAAACAAGAAGTCAAATATTTAACAAATATTAACATGACAACACTTGCATATATTCATTACCAAGCACATTACAGACCAGGCACACTTCATCCAATCAAAGCAACATATTTATCATAGTACTAGTCCTAAAGTTAATAAAAAATAGTTCACAGAGAGGTAGTGGAGCTGCCATTCTCAGATTGTCACGCTGCTGCAGCTGAGAGCTGGAGTTCGAGTGGTGGGTTTCAAGGTGCACTACCTTCTGCATAAGCTGAGAATCAGAATCACCCTTGGAGGTGATTCTGAAAATCAGCTTATTTACCCTCCAAAAAAGATGTTATAAGTTTTAGTTGGTGTCATAAAGCTGTAACAGACAGTTAGCTTCTGCTTTATTTAAGCTAAAATCTTTAAGTTGAGTAGAAAAAAGCAGTAACAAACTCCCATGAATGTGTTGGAGATGTCACATCAGGATGGGGAAAGGAAAAAAGTTTTTATTATTATTAGTTTTTTTGTTTTTTTTTAAAAGAAACAAAAAGAATAGTGTAAGCTTGCTGAAAAGGCAATCATTGAAAAAGTTGAATGACATGGCAATTTAGGAAAGTTACAGTATGGAATGAGAAGCTAAAAAGAGGTGTGGTGATGGCTTATGAGAACAGAAGTGTCATTTTAATCAATGGAACAATAAATGTACGTGGAACCATAAAATTGGTTTGTGGTATTAACAACTCATGTATTTTTGCATTTCTGAAATTTATCTCCTTGGATAAATAAATCTTTAAAAGCTATTCGTGCTTCATAATGCTATTTAAATTCTTATAGGGACAGGGTGCTTGTGGTTTCATTCAGTCATTGGATGCTACTAACGGTCATTTAGTTAGAAGTATTATTTCTCAGTCTACGTTGACCAACTGTCATGACACTAGCCCCTCAAGCAGTGACTTAGTCGAGGATGGGGATTTCAGCCAACAAGGGATGGATGTTGAGACACACGTAGAGTTTGTTTTCCCCTCCTCTGTTTCTTGTTTAATTTGGCAATATTAGAACAGAGTGTTGGACTTTGACATGTGGGCACCATGGACATTGACATGATTCTTCCCTAGAAGTGTCTTTACTACTTGGATGATAAAAATTCTGATAAATATTTTCTCTTGAATGCTGACCCTGCTTGAAACACAAGCATAGGACTGCCTTATGTGTCTAATTACAAATCATTTAATTTAGACCTTGTCTTTGCACTAGAATAGCACTACAGATTTCTTGTCTATGAGACTTCGGGACTTCCACTGGCATGATCTTGGCATGATTGTATTATGCTTTAAGTGTTACACTTGGTTATGAGATTGTTACAAGGATTATTGTCACTTCATATGACGTTTGTGTAGTATTTGTAAATTATAATCATTTAGATGAAGTGTGTTGCATTCCTGTGGCCTTCTACTATCTCTAATCCAGATGTTTTTTGTTCTTACTAGTATATTCTGGTTTTGGTGATTCATTTATGTAAGTGTAAAAATCCTTTCATTTCTTATGTTTTTTTTTCTTTTGTTTTTCTTTGTTTGCCCATCAAAATATGTAAGTATGTATTGGAAAAATTAATCCTTTAGTAGTGACAAATGAATATTTCTTATTCGATTAACTGATGGTTATGCATTATAGAGTAACACTGCCCATTGCAATTACTTCAAGTTCGTGGATGAAGATGATGAAGACGTTACGTCCACAATCCGTTCCAACACTAGAGCTTGCGATACTATAACAGTGGAAGACTTTAATGATCTAAGGACGAGGCTTCATGACATGGAAGATGAAAATGATGACTATGGTCGAAGGCTTGAAAGGATGGAAAATAATTTGAAAGCAATGATGTATTTTATTATATTTTCTATCATTTTATACTTTATGATGTAACTTATTGATTGGTTGGCTTTGGAAAAATGTTACGAATGTTAATGTTATTATGGATTTTGTGAAACTGAACGGATGTATTGTTGGCGTTTGTAGCATTTTTCCTTTATGTTTATGGAATGAATTTTAAAGTTTCTAGGATTTTGGGTTTGATTGAATGGATAGAATGAGTTTATCAGATTTTAGATGCTTTTCATGAATGTAGTACTTGACTACTTACATGAGTTTACCTTATTTTAGATGGTAAAGGATGGTTTTGAATTGTATGATATGCATGGTTAAGTGTACATTATGCTTCTATGAGTTTACCTGAATTTATTTATTGAGTGAGTGTACAGTGGCTATTCTTAGAAGTAATTGATTGAATGGAATTAAGTGTACAGTGGCTATTCTTGTGAGATGCATGGTCAACCCCAAATTCAACATTAATCATTATTCTTTTGTTCATATGGAGTATATTACGCTAGTAGTGGATACTAAGCTAGCAGTTTTTTCAAATTTAAATTACTAAGCTAGCAGTGGAAACTGTTGCTGGCTGTCCAACTGTTACTTATTGTTATATTAAAATTCAAATTATTTATAGTTATATCAGAATACATAAAGAAGAACTAATGTCAGGTTATATTAGTTTGGGTTCGTTTGGGAAGGACTTTTTGACTTTTTTGGCTTTTTTGAATTTTTTGTGAGAGAAAAATGTAATGATTATGGGTTAGATGTGATGTTTTGTTTTATTGGGCTAAAATAACCTATTTTGTCTTATATGACTATTTTAGCCCCAACCCATCTCCCCAAACAAGCCCTTAAAATGGCAGATCACATAGAATTATTCTTAACATAGGTTCAAATTTTGTAGATAGCAGACTGAAAAGTAAGAGAGCATCCAGTCTCAAATCTATCCTAGACATAGGTTCAAATTTTGTTCATTGCACTGTCTTTCTTTTAACCCTCATACATGTTCACACAAAAAACAAGAACAAATTCAACTTCATACATGTTCACAACAATTTCAGCAACATATAAAAACAATAACAAAAACTGTTTCAGCAGCAGTTTCAGCAAAAGACAGCAATAAAATAAACAACAGATGGATAGCCAGCAGCAGTTTCAGCAATAGTGGACAGTAGCAAAATAAGCAACAGTTGGGCAGCCAACAACAGATTAGAGAAGTGGTAAAACACAATTAATTTCCTTCACCATTATTTTTGTAACAGTGAAACAGACCATTACGTATTTGCGAACAAACAGCTTTTCAAAATAAAAAAATAAAAACAACAATTGTAGAGACAAAAAATTGCAGAGACAAACACAATTCCAGAGACAAAAATTCCAAACACAACAAAGAAGTTCTTCATAATACCAAATCTTTGTAATGACATTGTTTTTAATTTATCCATGTCGAGACATGCTTTTCTTTAATGAGGGCAAAGCAATGGATATCTGTAATTATTATTATTATTATTATTATTATTATTATTATTTTTTGTTTTCAACAGAGGAAATCCATATAGGCCTCAATGAGTTGAATCTTAAACACACACAGTAGCAGATTTCCAAAGCATGAAAGACAAGAATGTCTTCTAAAGTGGTCCTACTCACAAGGTAATTATTATTATTTGTTTCACAATGAAGATCACTTTAGATCATAGCAAAACATATGCTACACATTTTTTTAGAAGTGTGTAGCGTACGGAACATGGGTTTTGTTTTTGTTTTTTGAAAATAAGAAAAAAATTTGGAAAACATGTTTCTTCTTTTTTATAGAACACACGAAACTATAAAATCGCCAATGGTCACCTCAACTATTATTGTTGGTGAGCTACTAACACACAAACCAATTTTATGTTCCTAGTATATTTATTGATCCATTAATTAAATTACTTTTTTTTTATATTATGCGACAGTTATCGTGGCATTTTTGTCTAATTTTGAATAGAAAGTAGCTTTAGGAGTAAAGTGGAAAAAAATTGAAATTTGAAGGGCAAAAGTGGAAAAATGGCCAAACATAAAGGGAACAAAGTGTATTTTACCCTAAATAATATACAATATTTTTGTGTTTAAAAGATGTTTGGGCATTATTTTCAATCATTTTGGTGTAGTTTTGTGTTATTTGAAAAAGTGGGTTTAGAACTCCTTTCGGCTCTAGTTCACCGAACAAATTGCGATTGTTCGGTCTTCGGTAGCCAAACAATTTAAGTTTGTTCGGACTTCTATGGCTGAACATGGCTAATTAATCAATTTTGGCCCATTTTGTGGGACACAGGCCAAACATACTTGATTTGTTCGACTGTTTTCCAACCGAACAAACCAACTTTGTTCGGTCGTGTGTCGCTGAACAAACAAAATTTGTGAGACTTTGGTTCGTTGAACAAAACATGAATGCTGAAAAGAAACTGTGGAACTGGTGGTCTCGGGGAGGCTACGGAGTAATTATTGTAGCAGTGAGGGGTTGCTAGGTGGTGGCCATGGGAATGAGCTGTGGGGTGATGCTCGGAGGTGGTGGTGGCGGCGGTGGTAGAGTTTGTAGTAGTTGAAGACGGATGTGTTAGGGTTTGAAAGATTTTTGAGTGTGAGAAGAGAGGAGGTTAGGGCTGAGGGTAGCAAAAAGGAGTGTGATGAAATCAGATTTTTGAACTTTTTAGGGTGATGTAATTAGAAAAATGGTGTAATGAGGTAAAATTGTTGTATAAATATAATTACCTTTCTTTAACTAAGCTAGAATTGATTTTTTGCTCTGTAAATGTCTTTTTTACCCCTTTTAGCTGTAAAGTGAATTTACCCTTACTTTTTGTAATTAATTACCAGATTAAGAGGTCATTCCAACAGTTGATCAATGCAATGAAATTATATACAAGACACAATAATAACACAACTATTAAAAAGGCATACCGATTAAAGCTTTTCAAAGTTATCAAACAAGAAGTCAAATATTTAACAAATATTAACATTACAGTACTTGCATATATTCATTACCAAGCACACTAAAAATAAAAACCAACAAGAAAGTTACAAACCAAGCACACTTCATCCAATCAAAGCAACACGTTTATCATAGTACTAGTCCTGAAGTTAATAAAAATTAGTTCACAGAGAGGTAGTGGAGTTGCCATTCTCAGATTGTCACGCCGCTGCTGCTGAGAGCTGGAGTTCGAGTAGTGGGTTTCAAGGTGCACTACCTTCTGCATAAGTTGAGAATCAGAATCACCCTCGGAGGTGATTCTGAAAATCAGCTTATTTACCCTCCAAAAAAGCTGTTATAAGTTTTAGTTGGTGTTATAAAGCTGTAACAAACAGTTAGCTTCTACTTTATTTTAGCTAAAATCTATAAGTTGAGTAGAAAAAGCAGTAACAAACACCCATGAATGTGTTGGAGATGTCATGTCAGAATGGGGAAAGGAAAAAAGTTTTTATTATTATTAGTTTTTTTGTTTTTTTTAAAGAAACAAAAGGAATAGTGTAAGCTTGCTGAAAAGGCAATCATTGAAAAAGTTGAATGACATGGCAATTTAGAAAAGTTACAGTGTGGAATGAGAAGTTAAAAAGAGGTATGGTGATGGCTTATGAGGACAAAAGTGTCATTTTAATCAATGGCACAATAAATGTACGTGGAACCATAAAATTGGTTTGTGATATTAACAACTCATTTATTTTTGCACTTTTGAAATTTATCTCCTTGGATAAATAAATCTTTAAAAGCTCTTCATGCTTCATAATGCTTTTTAAATTCTTATAGGGACATGGTGCTTGTGATTTCATTCAATCATTGGATGCTACTAACAATCATTCTGATTGAAGTATTATTTCTCAGTCTACATTGACCAACTGTGATGACACTAGCCCCACAAGCAGTGACTTAGTCGAGGATGGGGATTTCAGCCAACAAAGGATGGATGTTGTGTCACATGTAGTGAACAGTTCTGAACATCCTCAAAAGTTGGAGGCAATTTCTGAAATTTCAAAGAGAGAGAAAGTGAAGCTGATGGATTTTCAGGCACAAGAAGACACGTCAGATGAGCTTATGCGAAAGCATTGTAAACAGCAATGACATAAGGCTCCAGAAGTTGATGGTTTCATACTTGATTCAAGAAGTTATTGTTCTGACATGCCACAGTCAAAATTAGGGGACCCTACAACTCCGAAGGCACTCCGGGCATCTACTATAGCATTTGAGGTTTTGATTCATCAAAGGCAAGTGGAGTTTTTGTGGCAGATTTCTTTTACCAGAGCTTCTTTGTTAAAAGGTGTGTCTTGTTTGTGATTTATGTTTCATTATTTAATATCATTACATATGGTTATTTGAATTTTCCTACATTACCAGGAGTTATATTTTTTATCTGTCTCTTTTGTTAATGTGGTTCTTACATGAATTCACCTTGTGTAGGTTCGAGTTACTACCACAATGATGCTGCCTTGCCTACGACCACAGTGGCCCTGACAGAGAATTGTTTGGAGGGAATGACCATATGTCAAATTTTAGGGTTTAATGTTAAGGGCTGATGTGGACGGCTTGTGTTTTTCCCATCTCGATGCCTGATGTTTCCTGCTCCTAAGCCTTTCTTTTGTTGTAAGTATGACTATATGCTTCAGTTAGCTTTTTCTTCACGTCAGATAACCAGGTTTCAAATTTATTTTGCATTTCTTCTCAGGTGTTTTCCCTGCATTTGATCCTATTTTTGTCCCTTAAGATGTCGACACATTTAATGCTGAAGCACCAAACATTGCAATGCTGAGTCTTGTCACCTGCTCAAATCTAACAAATCATCTTTGCTTACTCCTCCCGGTCAGCCTTTAGGTTCTTCTCTTTCGGGGCCTTCAGGTCTCAAGCCTCCTCCCAAAATTTTACAAGGAAACATTATGAGAAATTCAATTGTTGAGGTATTCAAGCAGGCTGCAGTGCGCCTTTAGGATGATCTTCTGAATGTTTTGAAGTCCAAGGATTTTCATGATCATGAGTCTATGACCCTAGATGCCTGTTCTATTTTTGGTGCTCTAGATGCTCTGTCTGTTGATTCTCAACCCTTTAAAGAACAAGTGGAGGAATTTATTGGTTGTGCATCATCACTTGCTGAAATAGGATTGTCTATTCACAATGACCGTTCTGCACAGGAGCTTGTTATCATGTACGAACGCAAAAACTATAG